GGTTCCTCCATGCCTTGAATGGGGGCATCCACAAATTCGATGCCCCTTCCGGCCATATATGGAACAGCTCAGCCCAGCCCACCCCAGCAGTCTTGCACGCCGGCGCGCATGGAGGTGTACCCAGGACTGGCTCCGAACGACGACGGTTCCTCCTACATCCTCCCCCTTTTGGGGCATATAGCGGCTCACCCAGCCCTTTGTTCTTCTGCATGCTCCCCCGCTTCCCTCATAACCTCCACTCCCCTGGGACCCATTTCTGGACGGGCTGCTGGGGATACGCGACGCGTCTAGAATTCGATGCCCCTTCGGCCATATATGGAACAGCTCAGCCCACCCCCCCAAGCAGTCTTGCACGCCGGCGCGCGTGGAGGGGGTACCCAGGACAGGCTCCGAACATACGAAAACTTGGGAACCCAAAAGATGAGTTCCCTCCCCCGCGCCCAAAAACACAGCCATTCGCCTGCACGCGAGTTACAACATACTGCTGTTGTTAGGCGTGGCAGCGCGCAGCTTGAAATTGCGATGCGGTGTGGATGAATTCGCGCGTGTGCATGTATGCGTTCGTTGATGCATATATGCGTCTTCATATGCACGTGTGCATCCCCATCATGGCAAACCGCAGTATAACGCACCGCAGGGCAGCGTCATGGCGAAGGCGCTGCCACTCTGGAGGGCATCTACAAAAAAGGATGCCTCCTGGTGGTGGAGGAGGAGGGGTTAGCACGGCCGCAACAAAATTTCTCTCAAACTGTTCGACTCTAAGAGACTTGTCCCCGTTCGCTCCTCGCTGCCACAACACGACTGCCATTAACCCTGCGGTGGTGCTGCCAGAGAGCTTGGGGACCTCCCTCGGCCATGCCGACTACGCGCCGAAGCCCTGCAGCACGTCGAAAACCTGAAGGCGAACGATCACCCGTGCATCAACGTCAGCAGGTTGGAGACGGCACGGCAAGGCAATGCACAATCAACGATCTACCCGCGCAGTTCGGGACCGAATGTGGCGAGATGATCCAGTCTGTCGCAGATTACCTGGGCGACTACGAGGGCGAGGTTCCTTGGGGCACTCTGCACGAGCGCGCAAAAGCGTGCGACTTCACGGGCGTGCCCGAGCCTTTCTCCCTGAAGTGGGATCCGCCTGGCCAGTACTCCATGCAAGTGTTCATTGCTACGAAGCCCGACGGCAAGCACGACATCTTGAAGGACGTGAACCTCCTGGGGGTGCCGACCAGGACGGACTCGTGCCTTCAGGTGCGTCGCGCGACTGGTCTGATATGGCGTTAGGGCAACCAGTCTAGGGTTGGCCGCTTGACCGTGCAGGACATGCTGGCGAAGCTGGAGGGCTACCAGCTGCGCCGCCACGCCGTGGTCCCCAAGGCTGGCAGGGGTGCTTCCAGGAAACCGGCCGACTGGGAGCTCAAGGAGGCAGGGTGCAAGTTCATACGTGGGCCGCGCACCAACGATGCCAACCAATTCATGGCGTTCGCGGATCGGGAGAGCTCCCGGCCAGAATCTCCCATCATTGGCTGGGAGGAGAATCGCATCGAGAGGGCCATCAACAATAAAGCGAAAGGCACGGCAAACGCCAAGGGCCTCAAGATCTGGGTCTTGACGACTCGCGGCTTTGGCCCTTGGTTCCTCGACGACGTGATCAAGCCCATCCTGGCTTCCACCCTCAGGGCCTTCGGCGTGGCGTGGATCGGCAAGACTCGCGTCAAGAAGAGCGCTGGGTCGAAGACCCTGGCCTTCATGATGAGCCGCGTGGAGATCGAGGAGCTGGAGCAATCTAGAGAAGGCGAAGCGGGGGAGCTTGTCCCGACGATCGTGACCGCCAAGCACTTCGATCTCTTCAAAGGTGAGCCAATGACCCGCGTCAGGCCCGCCATCTTTGACGACGGCGAGTTGGCTGATCAGTCGGCGTCTATTCTGAAAACCTTCCTGACCCCGAGCGAGGAAGACGCCACGATCTGGGCTCGGTGGGGTTGTTCCGAGTTCGACACTGGGTCCCCCCGTCAGGTCAGCAACAACGCGTACGACAAACACTTCGAGGCCGAGCTTGCTTCGGCAGAAGTGGTGCGACCTGCTCGCAGAGCTGCAATGGCGAAAGCAGGCGGCCACCCAGGCGCTCGACTACGGCCACACCTTCTTCGTCCCATTCCGCTCCTTCGCCCGCGCGTGCGTGCCAGAGCCGCAGTGACCTTGCCAGGGGTATTGCTCAGACGCTGTCGCGCCAATGGTTTAACGCATGGTAAGACGCCCGCGAGGTGTGAGGTCGCCAGGAAAAAGCCAGCCATCATCTTCATGTTCTATCGTGTGCCATTTTACAACAGACCCCCTTTCACACTCGCGCGCGCGGGGCCGCCCCTAGGGGCCGCAGATCAAAAGTACCCCGGCTGATCCCCGGCGAACCTTTACTCGGAGATGGTTTTCATGCTGGGAGCGGTTTTCCCGCGCCTCAGAACGATCCAACCCCGAGAGGCGCCCAAGACGGTCCAAGAGGGCT